CCACAACACCACACCACACCACCCCCCACCAACACCCACCCACCCCACACAACACCCACCACACCCCACAACCCACACCACCACAACCACCCCACCCCCCACACCCACCCCACACCCCACCACCCCCCACAACCCCCACCCCCACACACCCACCCCCACACACCCCCACCCACCACCACACCCCCACCACACCCACCACCACCCCCACCCCCCCACCCAACACCCACCACCCCCACCACACACCCCAACCACACCCCCACCACCCCCACCCACAACACCCCACACCACCCACCCACCCCCCACACACCACCCCCCACCACCAACCACACACCCACCACCCCCCACACCCCACCCACCCCACCACAACCACACCCCACCACACCCCCACACCCCCACAACCCACCCACCACACCACACCCCACACAACCACCCACACCCCCCACCCACCACACCCCAACCACCCCCCAACACCCACACCCCCACCCCCCCACCCCACACCCACCACACCACACCCCCACCCACCACCCCCACACCCCACACACCACACCCAACACCCCCACCCCCACCCCCCCCACCAACCCCCACCCCACCACCCCCACACCCCACCACCCCCCCCACCACCCACCCCCCACACCACACCCCACCACCCCCCCACCCCCACCCCACCCCCCCACCACCACCACCCCACCCCCACCCACCCACCCCCACACCCCCCCCCACACACCACCCCACACCCCCCCCCACCCCCACACCACAACACCCACCCACCCACCCCCACCCCCACACCACCAACACCCCCCCCACACCCCACCCCCCCCCACCCCCACACCACCCACCCCACCCACCCCACACACCCCACCCCCCCACACCAACCCACCCCACCCCCACCCCACCACCCCCCCACCACACCCCCCCCCCACACACCCCCACCCCCCCACACCCAACACACCCCCACACCCCACACCCACCCCACCCACCCCCCCACCACCCACAACCCACCCACCCCCCCACCACCCCCACCCACACCACCCCACCCCCCCCACCCCCCACCCCACACCACACCCACCCCCCACCCCACCCACCCCCACCCCCCACCCCCCCACCCCCACCCCCACCCCCACACCCACCACCCCCCACCCCCACCCCACACCACCCCACCCACCACCCCCACCCCACCCCCCCACACCCCCACCCCCCCACCCCCCCACCCACCACCCCCCCACCCCCACCCACCCCCACACCCCCCCCCACCCACCCCCCACCAACCCCACCCACCCCCACCCCCCCACCCCCCCCACCCCCCCACCCCCACCCACCCACACCCCCCCACCCCCACCCACACCCCACCCCCCACACCACCCCCCACACCCCCCCCCACCCCCCCCCACCCACCCCCCACACCCCCCACCCCCCACCACCACCCCCACACACCCCCCCCACCCACCCACCCCCACCACACCCCACCCCCCACACCCACCCCCACCCCCCCACCACACCCCCCACCCCACCACACCCCCACCCACCCCACCCCACCCCCCCACCACCCCCCCCCACCCCCCACCCCCCCCACCCCCCACACCCCACACCCCCCCCACCCACCACCACCCCCCCACCACCCCCCCACCCACCCCACCCCCCACCCCCACCACCCCCCCACCCCCCCACCCCACCCCCCCACCCCCCACCCACCCCCCCCACACACACCACCCCCCCCACCCCCCACCACCCCCCCCACCCACCCCCCCCCCACCCCCCCCACCCCCACCCACCCCCCCACCCACCCCCCCCACCCCCCCCCCACACCCCCCCACCCCACCCCCACCCCACCCCCACCCCACCCCCCACACCCACCCACCCCCCCACCCCCACCCCCCACCCCCCACCCCACCCCCCCCCCACCCCCACCCCCCACCCCCCCCCCACCCCCACCCCCCCCCCACCACACCCCCCCACCCCCACCCCCCCCCACACCACCCCCCACCCCCCCCCACCCCACCCCACCCCCCCCCACCCCCCCCACCCCCCCCCACACCCACCCCCCACCCCCACCCCCCCCCCACCCCCCACACCCCCACACCCCCCCACCCCCCCACCCCCCCCCACCACCCCCCCCCCACCCCCACACCACCCCACACCCCCCACCCCCCCCCCACCCCCCACACCCCCCCCCCACCCCCCACCCACCCACCCCCCCCACCCCCCCCACCCCCCCCACCCCCCCCCCACCCACCCCCCCACCCCCCCCCCACCCCCCCCCCACCCCACCACACCCCCCCCCACCCCCCACCCCCCCACACACACCCCCCCCCCACCCCCCCCCACCCCCCCCCCACACCCCCCCCCCACCCCCCACACCCCCACACCCCCCCCCCACCCCCCCCACCCCCCCCACCCCCCCACCCCCCCACCCCCCCACCCCCCCCCACCCCCCCCCACCACCCCCCCACCCCCCCACCCCCCCCCCACCCCCCCCCACCCCCCCCACCCCCCCCACCCCCCC